GGTTTGACCCCGGGGGGTTCTTACCCCTTGGGCCCCTTCCCCGGCGTTTTTTTATTTTATTAAAGACAGGGTTTCGCCGAGTTGCTTAGGGCCTCGCTAAGTTTCTGAGGCTGACTTTGAACTCGTGATCCTCCCGCCTCTGGAGTCACTGGGATTACAGGCATGTACCACTTTTCCAGGCCATAAGTGGGGTTTTTTTAAAAAGGTAAATGTTTTTTAAAAAGGCGTAGAGAGATGGCCTCAGAGAGGCTAAAGATTTTTCCCAAATCCTTTTGTAGCATGTATTAAACTGAATTGTGTCACCCTAAAATTTATGTATTTAGACACAGGGCCTTTAAAAAGAAAATTTAGTTAGTTTATTAAAATATTTATTTTTTAGTTGTAGTTGGATACATTTATTTTATTTATTTATTGTTATGTGTGGTGAGGATCGAACCCAGGGCCTCACATGTGCTAGGTGAGCCCTCTACTGCTAAGACACAACCCCAGCCTGAGTTTGTTTTGAGACAGTATCTCACTAAACTGCTGAGGTCAGCCTCATATTTGCAATCCTCCTGCCTCAGCCTCCTGAGTCACTGGGATTAAAGCTCTGTGCCACAGACTGCTCTGAGGAAATTGCTTAAATGATGTCACAAGGGTTGGCCCCTGATCCAACAGGGACATTATCCCCATAAGGAGACAGCAGAAGTGTGCACGCACAAAGAAAAGTCCACATGACAAAGGAAGGATTTAGATATAGGACTGTTGATTCTAGCTGCAGGCAATGGTCTAAAACATAGGGGCACCTTGGAACAGTGACTGGAGCATCCAGTCAAGTTGAAAGGTTAATAAAATAGGTACTTGTCACTCCGTTTTTCTATATGCTTAACAAAACACTGTTGAAATCCTGAGAACTGTTTTGCTAATCTTGTTCCCAGAATGTGCTGTCCCCAACTGCCAAACTGCAGGATGCACTCCCTCACTCGGTTGCAGGCAAACTGCCCACTTGCCCTGACCCATCAATGAACTTCCCTCCCTGCCCTCTCCAAGAAAAGTATATAAGCTCTGCTCAAGCTGTTCTCAGGGCTCTCTCTCTCTTTGCTAAAGTGAGCTCTGAGCCCCAGCATGCTGGCCTCCAAATAAAACCCTCCTGCTGTTGCATAAGACAGTCTCTTGTGGTCTCTTCCTCCGACGTTTCGCTGGACCCTAACAAAGTGATGCTTAGAAAGTCTGGGATCCCATGAAACATAACAGCTATATTCTACACTGTGTTCCAAGGAAGAGAGAGAAAAAGAGTTCACAATAAAATTGGGTTGGAAACACCAGGTAGAGCAAACTAAGAGAGTCTGCATTACTGTGGGGGGATTTCTTGAAGCCTTTAAGAGCTCCACAAATGTCCAAGCGGAGAGATGGCACGTGATATTTTTCAAGCTTATACTTTTCATCTGTAAGGCACGATCCTTCCTTGGATCACTTTTTCAGAGCTGATGAACAAAGGGAACCTGGCTCTCTGAAGGGCATATCCCTAGTGTTCTGGAGGATGTGAGCCAGGACTTGTTCTACTCCTGTGGAAACTGTGGTACTCCACGGAGGGGCTACAGTGCGGTGGGCACAAAGTGGGTGGCTGTTATGGAGCGTTTGTGTGTTGATTAGGTGTTAATGGAGTCATAGTTGAGTCATGAGATGTTCCCATCATGGGACTAGTGTCCTTCTAAGGGGAGGAGGATATCTCAGCATTCCCCTCCCACGTGAGGTCACAGAGAGGCACCATCTGCAAGCCAGGAAGGGGCCTGGGTAAGCTAATCAACCTTGATCTTGGAGTTGCCATTTCCAGAGCTGTGAGAAATAAGTCTGTTAAGTCACCCAGTCTCTAGTGGTGGATTTTTTTGTTTTTATGGCAGACTGAATGAAAGCTGTGGCTCTGGACCTTGAACTGTGTGATCTCAAACAAATTCCTTAACCTCTCCAGACTTCAGTTCTCTCATTCATAAAGTAAAGATAAAAAGAACAAGTACCTAGCTCCATGGGTTGTTCTGCAGATTATGTGCAAGAACTATGGTTAGTGGCAAGCACCGGGTTGGGGTGAGCGCTCAGTGCAGAGCGAGCACCCAGTGAGGGCTGAGCACGCCGCTCAGGGTGAATGCCTGGTGCAGGGAGGGCAGGTGAGCACCCAGCACTGGTCAGTTCATGCTAACTATCTCAAGGGGAAGCAGCTGGCTATGATGTGGTTACCCCCCTCCACAGACAGCATTCAGTAATTTCAGACAGATGAACATAAAGGAAGGCCAGAAACATCTGCTACTCTTTTCAATTTCACTCTCAGGAATCATCAGCTCCCTTGTGCCAGAAGCAAAGGTATACCTCTGCTCCCCTGGGGCAGACGGGCCCTCACCTCCGTCCCTGTGTAAGTGGATGCATCAGTCCAACTGAGCAAGCTCTGAGAGGCCACCTTCATAATGAGATGCTATTTACAGTAAAACACCCTTCACTGGGCCTGGGGTGTACTCAACAATGGAGTGCTTGCCTAGCCCAAGACCCCAAGTTTGATCCCCAACACCGCAGGAAAAGACAAAAAAACAAAGAACACAAAAACAAAACAAAAAAACCTTTACTGCCAAATAAAGATGACACAGAAATAGCAAAGCTATTTTCCTATTGTTGTCCAGCTTCATTTAGCTATCAACAACCTGAGGGAATGTTTCTCTACGTCCTTTGGTTCCTGAATTGTTGATGCATCAACAGTCACAAACACGTCAACTTAAGGAGTAAACAAGTAGCTTTAGCTTCTCTTTAAAGGCCACGGATCCCCCGAGGGTGGTTGGCGTGCTGCCAGGCCCTGAGATCCCCACTGGGCGGGAGATGCCAGCAGGAGCTGGACCAGCACTTTTCTCCTGCAGCTCCATCCTCATCCCCAGGACCCTCCACAGACAACATGGGAAGAAACTTCCGTTTTCCTGTTTCTCAAAACCAAACCAGGACACTTGCCAAGCCTTGCTGGGAACATAGTCATGTCCCCCCCACCCCGGCTGTCGGTTTTAGGGCTCCACCGTCTTTCTGGGTGCTCCCCTCACCTCTGAAGACTGCCTTCCTCAGGAAGAATCAACGGGACTAGAAAACCTACCCCTATGAAAGCTGGGCCTCAGGCACAATCCAGAGACACCAACATAAATGGTACTGACACCTCACAGCCCAGGCTGTCCTCTGTGGCCACCACAATCCCTGCCCACACCTTCCCTTCTGGACACACAGGCCCCATGGTCCTCAAGGACAAGTACCAAGAAGAGCTTGAGCGCCCTAGGGGTGTTGGAGCTGCTGTGGCTCCTCAGAGGG